TTTCTTACCTATATGATGATTTTTTGACTTCTACTTGTGATTTTTGCTATGAAATGTGAGATTTGATGCATTGTCTTGTGAGAATGTATATCTAGAGCTTGTTATTAGGATTCTTGTATTCCATTGCTTGGCTATTTCTTGGGTTCAAGTCATATTGTTGTATTTTGTGAGATTTTGGGTGTTTTGGACTTGGTGTTGAAAATTTCCAAAGGGATTATTTTTTGGTACAGGAGTGTACCCGCGGGCGGAACGGCGGGCAGTGGCCTACCCGCCGTCCCACCCGCGGGGTACACCTCTCGTGGGTGATGGTACCCGCGGGCGGAACCACGGGTGGAGGTCCACCCGTGGCCCCACCCGCGGGGGTACATTGTTGTTGATTGTTTGGGAATTTGTTCCCCGTGATTCTTTTGACTCGGTAAATGATGTTAGTTTGACCTCCCGATGTTGTTTGTTGGGCTATTTGAGTGTCTTCTTGATGTTTCGTATGTCTAGAACGGTATGTTAGGAATCCATGTAGGATTTGGTGTCTTGAATCGTGCTAAGTGTTCAACTTTGTGATTCGTTGGACCTTGATGAGTCTTGTATGTTCTAAGGAACTATGTTTGGTTTACCCGTTTGATAAGCATGCTAGTTTGATGTTGAAATGCTAGACTGTGTGGTTTGTTCTTTCCTATTGTGGATGGCAACTTGTGTTGACCATCGTTGGTGTTGGATTGTAATCCTTCTTTGTTGAGTATGGTTTCATATCTTTGTTGTGATCCATTGATTGATTCCTGTGATGGAAATATGTGTATTGGTTGTACCTTGATTGCACGGTTAATGGTATGGGACATTAATCACCAAGGTACAGATGTGGTCCTCGTGGTGGCCATGAAATGAAATTGGTGGTGTGACTTGAGCTTTGCTCACTTGCTGGCGGTTGTGTGATTGAAATAAACAGTACCCTCGTGTATTATGTGTTGGCGGAAATGTTGGCAGTTGTTGGCGGGTACACGACGGTTCCCGGAGGCATAAGGTTGGACTCAGAAGTACAGGGGTTCTCGGAGGTAATGGTTGGAACTATAATAAGGCCGGGGGTAGCCATAAGGTTGGAACAGGGCATAAGGTTGGAACATGTGACATGTAGTGTCACGGTGGCATGTAGTTGCCAATGTGTGAATGTCTATCCTTTTCTGATGAGCATGTCGAGTGGTATTCTACTTTGTGATCAGTAGAATACACCTTGAGTTGTACTTGTTTACTGTTGTTGTCCTTGTCTTGATGTTTTCTACTTTGTGATCAGTAGATTACATCTTGAGCTGAGTTGAGTTGTACTGTTATTTCCTTGTCTTGATGTTGTCTTGGGATGCTGATTTCCCTTGTTCTTTTTTAGAGTGAGATATAGTCTTTGCAGTTGACTTCTCTCTATGACTTTTGAACTGATATATACTGTATTCCGTTTCGGAAATGGTTTTGTTTTATACTATCTATATATGCTACTTAACGCGTATTGATGGGTTACCAGCAATATTCGCTGACTGGGCGTCGTCTAGGGATGGCAACGGGGCGGGGCGGGGCGGGGCGGGGAGTATACTCCCCGTCCCCGTCCCCGCTACCCCGACACCGTCCCCGTCCCCGGCGGGAAATTGAAAAAATTTCCCGACCCCGTCCCCGCGGAGAATTTAGCGGGGACGGGCAATCCCCATCCCCGGTCAACACCATAGTCAAAGTGTTAAACTAGTACAATTTTTAAACATAAAAAAAAAAAATTAAAATCCATAAGTCAAGCAACAATTATATGATTAAATAATTTAAATGGTTTCATAATATACGCTCTATACACCAACAAATAAACATTCAAATGATTTAATAATATAATCACAATCCACTTACAGTATAATTGTGATGGTTTCATAATATAATTGAATTTCAATGGTTTCACAGTATGATTTCAATGTTTGCACAATATAAATCTATAATTTCAATTGTTTCACAGTTTATAATCACTAATTTAAATGGTACGAGTGTTTCACAGTATACTGTGTATATATATATTATTATTATTTTTAAATTCTCGGGGACGGGGCGGGGCGGGGAGAGGTATCCCCGTCCCCGTCCCCGTCCCCGTCCCCGTCCCCATCCCCTACGGGGACGGGGATCCCCGACGGGGACGGGGCACATTGCCATCCCTAGCGTCGTCCCCTTTCTTTATGTTGCTTTATAGGTCCTGAGTAGATATGGCGTGTGCGCTAGCTGTTGGTTGTAGTGTAGCTCCCTTGAACTTTGTAGATAGTGTTTTGGGCCTGTGTGCCATGGTAGTTGAACAAGATAGATTGTTGGTTTTAGACTTGCCTGTGCATCCACGTTGAAGTGGATGTGGCATAGCACTTCCTGGTTTTCCCCGTTTTTATATAAGACTTTCGCTGTTGCTTACGTTTTATGATACCTGTTAGTTGCCTTGCCTTACGTATTTAAGTTTTAAAAATGTCATGAAAATCGGGGGTGTTACAGCTGGTCATAGAGGTGAAAATTGGAAAGAATATAATTTTAGTGTAGAATTATAGCACAAATAGGAAAGTAGAAACAATATATTCTATTAGAAATTGTATTACACTATTTTATAATATTAGAATATGAATTTTAACATAAAATTATAGTACGAATAGGAAAGTAGAAAACAATATGTTTTATTAAAAATCGAGATTTTTTAAGATTTGGGCAGGAAATTAAAGTTTAGGATTTTGTTTTTATATAGTATAGAAGTATAGATAAGAGCCTAATAGCACGTTTGGTTCACGGAATGAATTTTGAGGTAATAGGAATGCTATTCCATAAGGAATGGAATAGGCATGGAATAGAATAGGAATTGTATTCTATTGTTTGGTTCGCGGAAGTAATAGACTTTAGAAATTATATTACAGTGTTTGGTTGATTTAAGGAATAGAAATGAAATATGTTTTGAAAGACATAAATACCCTTATAAAAATATGTGATGGTGGCGATGGTGGTTGTGGTGGTGGCGGTGGTGGTGGTGGTGCTGGGGTAGTAGTGGTGGTGGTGGTGGTGCTGGGGTAGTAGTGGTGGTGGTGGCGGTGGCAGTGGTGGGGGCGACGGTGACGGTTGACGGTGACGGTTATGGCAATGGTGGTGGGGGCGGCGACGGTTGTGGCGGTGGTGGTAGCGGTGGTGCTGCTGGGTGGTGGTTCCGGAGGCGGTGGTGGTGGTGGCGGCGGCGGCTGCGATGGTGGTGGCGGTGGTGGTGATGGTGGTGGTGGCGGTGACAGTGGTGGGGGCGGCAATGGTGGTGGTGGTGGCGGCGGCGGCGATGGTGGTGGCGGCAGCGGCGGTGATGGTAGTGGTGGCGACGACGGTGGTGAAATAGGATAAATTTATATATAGGACAAAAAAATTAGGTTAAAGAAATGGGTAAAAAAGAAAATAGATTCTAAATTCTATTCCTGAGCGTTCAGTAATAGGCTAATACCGGGGGGGGCCTCTAGTATTTTATTAATACCATAAAAAATAAAAAAAATAAAATTAATAAAGTCAATCATATTAACTACTTGAGGAATTGGTTGACAAAGAGAGTATTCAAATCACACAAAAAATTGAAGTGAGAACTACCTCGTAATGTCCTTGTTTGACAATCAGCAGTTAGTGGTTAGCGTTAGCGGATTTGACCAACGAATTATATCATCGGTGAAAAAAAAGATATTTGAAAAAATTAGCTGTTTAGATTAACATGTAAAATGATCTAGGGTAATAATAATAATAATAATAATAATAATAATAATAATAATAATAATAGTAATAGTAGTAATAATAGTAATAGTAGTAATAATAGTAATAATAGTAATAGTATTAATAATAGTAATAGTAGTAATAATAGTAGTAATAGTAGTAATAGTAATAATAGTAGTAATAATAGTAATAATAATAGTAGTAATAGTAGTAATAGTAATAATAATAGTAATAATAGTAATAATAGTAGTAATAGTAATAATAGTAGTAATAGTAATAATAGTAATAGTAATAGTAATAGTAATAGTAATAATAGTAATAATAGTAATAATAATAGTAATAATAGTAATAATAGTAATAATAACAATAACAATAACAATAACAATAACAATAATAATAATTATAATTATATTATAATTATAATAATAATAATAATAATAATAATAAATAATGTTTTAAAAAATAAAAAAAAATAAAAAATATCATTAAGGGAATCATATTAACTACTTAGGGGGGTTGTTATATCATGCACCATGGTGCATGATCAATCATGCACCGCGCGTCAGACACTACAGTGTGTCTAAACCGACACTGTCTCGCGTATTATTTTTATATTATCAAATGAAATTACAGTTATATCAAAATGATACTGTAGTTGTGGTGAAATGAAACTACAGTGTATATAAAATGAAACTGAATAACATTTCACATATTTGAGTGTATATTGTACAATGAAGCTGTAATTATATTGAAATGATCATGTAGTTGTGTTTTAATGAAATTATAGTGTATATAAAATAAAATTAAATAACAATTTTCACATATTTGAGTGTATAAATATTGAATGAAATTGTAGTTATATCGAAATGAAACTGTAGTTGTGTTGAACTGAACTGCAGTGTATACAAAATGAAACTGAAGAACAGAGTTATTTTTTGCGAAGATTCTATTTCTTTTCATTAAATAAAACGACGTCGTTTTGACAGTGTCGGTTTAGATACACTGTAGTGTCTGACGCGCGGTGCATGATTGATCATGCACCATGGTGCATGATATAATTTGCCGGGGGTTTATTGACAAAAATCCTATATATAAAAAAGCCAAACAGATTTGGAACATTTTCCCGCCCATATAAAAGGCAGCGTTTTGGGCTTAAAATTCATCAAAGCATTTGCATGTAAAAATCTCTATCTGACAACTTAATTTTAATATAAAATATTTCAATAGTGGCGTGCAAGAAACCACTTTGTAGGTGCTAGCTACTATTTCCAAGGCACAAATTCAGCTTGCTATTTCCAATGCATTAAAAATTTAATTTTTACTGACAAGTACAACACAAACAAGTACATATTTTTAAAATAAAATTTTAAAAAGATAAAGCCTATAAATAGATGGTTCTGCACCCACATCTACACGGAGTATTCACTTTCTCCATTTTTGATAGTTATGGACATTTGAAGGACTGATTACTTCTCATTTGTTTTGAATTGCTTCTCATTTGATTTGCAGAAAAATGGAGACGGGGAGGCCAAGCTGAGCATGAACACACAAGCTCAAAAAAAAGCTAATAGAAACCATTTTGAAGGATTTCAATAGCATACCAAGCAATACCCCTGCACCCTGTATTAATTTCCTGTGTTCTTACTTCCATTGACACCTGAATTTATTGAGAACAAAGAATGATCATAATAGCAACATAACTCAAACCCAAGTAAGTACATGCCTATTCTTACATTCTCAATGGTAATAATATCTTACATTGTTCTCTTAGTTACTGTATATTATGTTCATCATATTCATGCATCTTAGTGAAGCAAATATTCACTAGGAGCTCTATGTTGATTGCATTTTAATAAAAATTATGTTATATATCAGAATATAAGAAAAGGAAACGGAAATTGAGTGTGCAGATGCTATTTGGACAACATTCAAATACATCCTTATGGAAATAGATAGCTCAGAATTACCATTGTGAGAATTAAAGCAAGTAATAATCTCAAGAAGTGGAATTCTCAAATCCAAGTTTAAAGCATGTATGCAAGTTTAAAAAATGGCACAAAACAATTTATACTATATATAATATATCAGAATATAGGAAAAGGAACATGCAAGCATTCAAACTTAGTGGAACATTCAAATACATGATGAATATTGGTGAATATGAAAGAAGCTTTAGGACTTAGGATGACCTTTGTGAGAATTAAAGAATGTAAGTATAAGTGGGATTTGCATTTATATGTGTGTGTGTGTGAACTATAAAATTCCAAAAAAAAAAATGCCTTCAAATCTTTGAATAGAAACTTATCTTCTATCATTTGGAGTTGATACATTCCTATACTATAGATCTTTCTTCCCCGCTTGTGCATGCTCTAATACTGAATTTTCCAGATCTGCAATTATAGCATGTATGTCAATACAAAAATCACCAAAAATAACATGTTATGCAAAGTAAAAACAAATTGTAAAAATTAAAAAATAAAGATTTAAAATATTATACCACAAAATGCATACTAAATACAGAGATTCAATAAAAATTAAAAAAAAAAAATATATATATATATATATATATATATATATATATATATATATATATATATATATATATATATATATATATATATATAATGTTACTGTCACTAATTTGCACATATAAATTAATTTATCAAACAGAAAAAAATCACATAAAGTTGTAAAATGAAATACAAATTAATAAAAAAGTAAACAATCAAATAACATTCGGGAGAAAAATGTGCATACATTTGATGAGATTTTTTCGGTTTAAATAAATTTTCCGATTAAGAAGTTTGCATGTTAAAAAAAAAACAAAAAAAATTAGTAGAAATTGAAAAAATCTACTATAAATGAATAACATTTCAAAAATTAAACCAAAACAATTATATCGAAAAGTATAATCATGTAATGGGGAGAAAAAATCGAAAAATATAATCATATGTTTTGCGGAAAAAATCGAAAAAAAAATTATTGAACCAAAAGAAACTATTAAAAAACGGAAAAAATAACAAGAAAAATAAAAAAAATATTAATAATAAAAAGTATAACATACACAGTATAATCGGAAATTTTCTCTCAATGGACCTACGCGATTTGCATGTCTGAAAAAAAAAAAAAAAACAAAACAAAACAAAACAAAAAATAAGTTAAAAAAAATAGATATCTTATACATTAAAAATCTTTAGAAAAAAAATGAACATAAATAATTAGATATACCTATTTGTTTAGATTTGATTTGTTTCCATGCTTTTGTTCCTGTTTCTAGATATAGTCGCGAGGCTTACGGCGAAGAATTAGAATCAGAAGAATGGTAGATTAGGATTTGTGGTTGATAATAGATGAAGGGGTGAAAGGAGTGCGCTGCTGATGAAAAGAAAGAAGAGAGGTAGAAGTAAGCTGCTGCCCGGAAGAAAGAAGAAATGGGGATTAGGGTTTTCAGATGTTAATATTAATTAATAGGTTGGGTATTGGGTTGGGCTGGTTTGGGCCATAATTTAGTTGGGTTGTAATTAAATATCTACTATACTAATAAGAGCCCAAGAGAGTTAGGCCTATAATGGGTAGAAAAAATGGCGGTCACAGATTTTAATCAAATGAATGGCTCAGATTGATTAAAAGATTGATCAGATTTGAATTTTACACTAAAATTTCCTAAAATACCCACACACCGTTACTAATTCCGTTAAAATTTTAAGAATTACCGTTAGTTCACCGTTAACTTACTCATTGATTTCAATAACAAAAAAAAAAGGTCTTAGGTTCAAACCTCATTCCAATCAAAGTTGGCATAATTAGTACTCTATTTTACTCTTATTAAATTATATAAATAATAATTTAGTAGTTACAACAAAAAATAATACATATACATTTCTTAAATTTAGAATTATGTGTCCACAATGTCTTTATTCGAAAAAAAAAAATTATTCATTATCAATAAATTAAATAAGATAAATAATTTTATTAGTTATATTGTCTTTATTTTTTTTCAATATAAAAATTCTTTATATTCAAATTTATTAATTGATTATATTCGCTACATTGTCCTTACAATGTCTTTATTCAGTGAAAAAAATTTATTAATTATCAATAAATTAATTAAAAGAAATATTTTCATTAGTTATATTGTCTTTATTTTTCTCAAGTGTAAAAATTTTTACATTCAAATTCATCAATTGATTATATTCACTACATTATCTATTATCTTTTTTTGTGCACTATTTTTCTAATTAAATATCAAAGTTATAACATAAAATAATGTTATGTATTTATTTATCAAGTATTTTATTAATACCATGAAAATATTAAAAAAAATATAATTAATAAAGCCAACCATATTAACTACTTGAGAGATTTTGTGACAAATAGAGTATTCAAATCACACAACAAATTGAAGTGAGAATTGCTGTTAGTTCACCGTTAACTTATTGATTTCAATAAAAAAAGGTCTTAGGTTCGAATTGCATCCCAATTAAAGTTGGCATAATTAGTACTCTATTTTACTCTTATTAAATTATAGAAATAATAATTTAGTAGTTACAACAAAAAATAATACATATGCATTTCTTTAATTTAGAATTATGTGTCCACAATGTCTTTATTCGAAAAAAAAATTATTCATTATCAATAAATTAAATAAGATAAATAATTTTATTAGTTATATTGTCTTTATTTTTTTCAATATAAAAATGCTTTATATTCAAATTTATTAATTGATTATATTCGTTACATTGTCCTTACAATGTCTTTATTCAGTGAAAACAAATTATTAATTATCAATAAATTAATTAAAAGAAATATTTTCATTAGTTATATTGTCTTTATTTTTCTCAAATGTAAAAATTTTTACATTCAAATTCATCAATTGATTATATTCACTACATTATCTATTATCTTTTTTGTGCACTATTTTTCTAATTAAATGTCAAAGTTATAACATAAAATAATGCTATGTATTTATTTACCAAGTATTTTATTAATACCATGAAAAAATTTAAAAAATATAATTAATAAAGCCAACCATATTAACTACTTGAGAGATTTTGTGACAAAGAGAGTATTCAAATCACACAACAAATTGAAGTGAGAACTACCTCGCAATGTCCTTGTTTGACAATCAGCAGTTAGCGGTTAGCATTAGTGGATTATACTTGCGAATTTGACCAGCGAATTTATTTAATTATTAACATTGGGTAGAAAAAATGACCGCCAAATTATTAAATCAAATGATTGGTTCATATTGTTCAGGTTTTAATTTTTTTCTTTTAAGATTTTCTAATTTATCCTTAATTATATGATTATCCATTTAACTTTTCCGTTAATTCACCGTTAGTCTAATTCTAATATTAAAGTCTAATATAGAATTATAACTACACCATTAATCTAATTCTAATATTAAAGTCTTAATAGAACTTAACCACAAATCCTAATGTCGGAATCTCCTCAAACAATATTAGTATATATTTAATATTTTATGCCCTAATTTTTATTTGTTCTCCCTTATGTCCCTATTTAGTTTCAACCATACCTATACAATTATTTTATTGACAATTATAATCAATATTGACTATATTATCTTGCATTTGTAAACTTAGAATTACCTATTTAACCCGCACGGGCTTAGCTCAATGGTTTAGTGGGTAGTATTTGGGAGAAGAGACTAAGGTTTGAACCTCGGCGACGGCAATGCGGGAATTATGTGTCCAAAGTGGGCAGATTCCTTGTGCGTATCAGCATTTGGCCCTGTCTGCTGAACCATTGAGTCACCGTGATTTACAACTTCCCACAATGCTCTGTCGGGTCGGAGTGTGGGGGGCCCTTGGGGTTGGGGATTCAACCTTTGGGAGAAGAATTACCTATTTAAATATGCAAATTCAACCTTCAATTATCTATGCATGAACAATTTCAATATAATCTTGCCTTAATATATTTTAAAGTACTTATTTAAAAAAAAAAAAAAAAAAAGCATTGGGCATTATCCCAATCGCGCAATGCGCGTAAAAAACTAGTGTTTTGTAATAAGTTTCATTAAATGAGGCATTGAGGTCTGATAATTTTGATCAAATAACATTATTATTATTATTATTATTATTATTATTATTATTATTATTATTATTATTATTATTATTATTATTATTATTATATTCATTCTATATTTTATTATATTAGTATTATTATTACCAAAAATAATATTTTTATTGTTATTATTCTTATTTTGGACAGTAAATTCAATTGGGTTTGGTCTATTATTATTATTATTATTATTATTATTATTATTATTATTATTATTATTATTATTATTATTAAGAGTAATGCATATGTATATTAAATTACGAATGCTATAATTCTCTCTAATGTTAATTTATGTAATGAAAATAAATAAAAGCTAAAGAGGTTTTCAAAAAAAAAAGCTAATGTCAAAGGCTTTCATTCTAAAATTATTTTTTTAAAATTTTGCCTTTATACGTCGATAATTTTATGAGGCTCTATTTACAATTAGCAACCCTAAAATTGTTATTACATGTCAAAATGGGGCAAATTATGCTGTGAAATCATGTCCACCTTGCAATGTGAATAGGGTTCTAAAATTGTTCATAATTATGAATATATAGTTCAAAAATTATGAACATATAGTACCATACTTATGAATATATAGTCCTGTAATTATGAATATAGAGATTCAATAATTGTGAATATGAAGTTCAAAAATTATGAATATATAGCTTTATAATTATGGACATATAGTTCTGTAATTATGAACATAGAATTCCGTAATTGTGAATATAGAGTTCAATAATTATGAATATGAAGTTCAAAAATTATGAATATATAACTTATAATTATAAACATATAGTTTAGTAATTATGAAGATAGAACCGTATTCACCTTGCGAGGTGGACACGGTTTCATAGCATAACGATTGTCAAAATGGTGAGTACTCTTCTTTAACTATAAATGTGGTCCACAAATAAGTTTTTAACAATTTGTAAATTTAAATATTAATATTTTGACTTTTCGAAAACTTTAAATCAAATATATTTTAATGGTTTTTGTAATATATATGAGTTGAATATATGTTTATATTAAGTTGTGTATTTTTTTTTTGACTAAATACTTATATTAATAGCCAAGAATGTGGATATATGTGCTCTCATAATTATCATTACGCACCTTAAATATCAATTCTTATTTTAATTGTAAATCTTTATGGTCATATTTTTATTATAGCAAGTCAACAAAGATGTATAGAATATTTTTTTAAAAAAACTTATATTGAATTTTTATATATAAAATTTATTAACATAATATACTCGGTAACATAACTATACTATTTCAAATATTTAATCCGTGCATCGCACGGGTGAAATACTAGTAGTATTCAAATCACACAACAAATTGAAGTGGGAAACTACCTCGCAATGTCATTTTTTGGCAATCAGTAGTTAGCTCTTTAATATTAGTATATATTTAATATTTTATGTCCTAATTTTTATTTGCTCTCCCTTATATCCCGTATTTGATTTCAACAATACCTATACAATTATTTTATTGACAATTATAATCAATCTTGACTATATTATCTTGCATTTGTAAACTTAGAATTATCTATTTAAATATGCAAATTCAACATTCAATTATATATGCATGAACAATTCCAATATAATCTTGACTTGATATACTTTAAAGTACTTATTTAAAAAATAAACATTGGGCTTTATCCCAATCGCGCAATGCGCGTAAGAAACTAGTAATATTAATAAGGAAAAAATTGTTTGTTACTTATAAGGGAAAACGTAATACTTTTGATGAAAAATGTAATATTTTTACATTTTGATGTAAAAGTATTATATTTTCCATCAAAAGTATTACATTTTTCTAAGTAATGTTGGCAAGTGTTTGTTACTTATAAGGGAAAATATATTACTTTTGAAGAAAAAATGTAATACTTTTAAATCAAAATGTAAAAGTATTAAATTTCCATTAAAAGTATTACATTTTTCTATATAAGTATAAACATTTTATTCACAACTAGTATTACATTTCTGCGTATAATAGGACTAATTTGGGTGGGGGGAGGGGGGGGGGTATTCAATCATGACTTTTGTAGACTTTTAAAAACTTTTAAAATAATTGATTTTAATAAACTTTGATTAATCTTCATAAAGTCGTTTAAAACTTTATAAGACTCTATAAAAGTTTATATAAAAAACATCTTTTATTAATTTTTTATATTAAAAAGTCTACAAAAGTCATTGAAATTCTAAATTGAATACATCCTTACAAACTCTCAATAATTTCGATTCTTATAATTTATAATTTTCATACAAAACATGTTATAATATATCATAAAATTCTTCTTATTATATAGTTCTTCACCGACATCAACATTCTCAACATTATTATTTTTTA